ACTGTGGTGACTACACCTAGTCTTAAAGCTGCTATGTAAGGGTGAACCTGGTGAATGACTTCAAATCAAGTGTTTTACTCTCAGGCCTTGGAAAAACATATGATCGTCATTTAGGAAGGTAATGTGCTATTGCTGTGTAATAACATACGGACAGTTCCTGGTTTGGGGCTTAAGCCTTAATGGGTGACATCATTCAAAAACAGCAAAGAATAGAGAGCAAAAAGTGACTCTAATCAGCCGTCTGAGGACCCATATCTCAAGATATGGCTACTCAAGACTTATTCCATATTAATTGCTGTGGAATATTTTATTTTGTAAAAATTTTCCTGAAATAAGAAAGAACATTTGCATGAAAAAAATCAAGCTTGCATATTGATAAAATTCAGCTGTACTGTGAAAGACCCTGAAGAGATTTATTAGATTTTTATTGACACAAATTTAGGGTAATAACAAATACTACTTATAGAATCATATAATCATAGAATGGTTAGGGTTGGAAAGGACCTTATCATCTAGTTCCAGCCCCCTGCCATAGGCAGGGACCCCTCACCCTAGACTGTGTCACCCAAGGCTCTGTTCAGCATGGCCTTGATGTAACTTTAAAAGGAAATACACAAAAGTAAACTAAACTGGGCCACCTCAGCAAACAAGTGCAATTTCCAATGTGTTACTTTCTAGCATGCTATTATTACCTAAGATGTAGGAATTGATGTCCAAATGTAAGTTGTATGACAGAAAATGCAGTTAAATGCCTATAGGTGTTTCTAGAAGTGCCATAGTAAGTTAAGCACCTCATTTAAATAGTTAATGTGAATGGTGAGTTGCCACTGAACTCCTCTATCCACATCTGTAAGTGATATTATTCCCTAACCACATTAACAGATTGAAGGGATAATATTAAAAATATTGCACTGAAATAATTCAGTGGTTCTTGTGAATCTGCAGACAGCCTGAAATTACTGTCTCTCCACAGTGTTAACTATTTAATCATTGGTTGAATGGTAGAAGAATGAAAGAGAGAATGATTTTATGTGAAACTATGAAATTTATGACTGTTCTGTTAAATATCAAACACCACTTCTGCCTGAAAGAAATTCCCAAGATAAAGTGTTGGATGAGTGTTCATGAGAAATATCTCCATGTGCTTACTTTATATTAACATTCTTTCCTAGGCATTCCTGTTGTCACAGAATCACATACAGTCTCTGAGAGGTTGAATGGGACTTGAGATCATCTAGACTAACTACCCTGTCTAGGCAGGGTCAACTACAGCTGGTTTCCCAGGACTGCGCCCAGTTGTGTTTTGAATATCTACAAGGATGGACACACCATGACCTCTCTGGGCAACCTGTGCCAGTGACAATTCTCACAGTAAAAGTGTTTCTTACATTCAGAGGGAATTTCATGTGTTTTAATTTGTGTCCACTGCCTTTTGTCCTGTCACTGGCTCCATCATCTTCTCTCCCTCTCATATGATAATTATACACATTGATAAGATCCCCCTAAGCTTTCTCTTCTCCAGGCAGAACAGTCCCAGCCCTCAGCCTTTTCTCACCTGAGGCATGTCCAGGTCATTAACTCGTGTTAAGCATCACTGGCCCCAGTGCCAGCCATTGGCATATACACTCTGGGCCTGGCCACGTGGTTGTTAACTGATAGTATACTTCTTCCCTAGGTGTCTTTGTTGTTCACAGTCACAGCACAGAACACTGGGCTAGATAAACCCGTTATAGCCATTATGTTCTGCTTTTAGTAATTAAGGTAGAAAGAGATTGTTCTTATGTCAGATAGTCCCAGGTCTTTCTGTCCTCCCAAAAACACCCCCAGGCCTGAAAAGAAAGAACTGGCATGAAGGGGTTTTCTGTAATCATACTCTAGGCATATGTCGTGGTTTAAACCCAGTCAGACAGCTCGTTCACTCACTTCCCCCCTTCTTTCCCTCCCCCTACTCCCGGAGGGACGGAGATTAAAATTGAAAAGAATGCAACTCCCACGGGTTGAGATAAGAACAGTTTAGTAACTAAGGTATAACACAGATCACTACTGCTACTATCAATAATAATAATGGTAAAGGAAATAACAAGGTAAGAGAATACATCACCTCACCACCAGCCGACCGATAACTCGCCCCCCCCAGCCCGACCAAGCACCGACCCATACCTCCTCCAACCCCGCAGTCTCCCAGTCCTTCTGGCTCACTCCCAGTTACCTCCTGGGCATGACGTGCTGTGGTATGGAATACCTCTTTGGCTACCTTGGGTCAGGTGTCCTGTCTCTGCTTCCTCCCAGCTTCCCCTCCTCCCTGGCAGAGCATGAGGCTCACAAAGTCCTTGGCCAAACCAAAACATCCTTGTTATCAGCTCTGTTCCCGAGCTGAAAGTCAAAACACAGCACTGCACCAGCTACCAAGAAGGAGGAAAATGACTGCTACTGCTGGACCCAGGACATTATCCACCCCTTATTCCATACCATTCACGTCATGCTCAGATCCCACATTTTCAATATACCATCACTCTTATCTTAGAACATGGACCAGTCCCTATAAAGCTGCTGAATCCATTTGGTCCATGACGTCAGGCTCCATATCTTGTAACAGTCTTTCAGAGCAGGAGAGGCTGTGTGCAGTGTTCACACTTGTGAATAACCTGGGCAATAGTGTCTATTGCTAAGTCCACCCCTCGATCTTGAGTCCATCTCTATGTTTCATCTCTGCTCTGATGGCCTGAAGTGCCATGGGCCCACCAGGCTCAAAATAATTCACTCTCCCCTTCAGCAGTTTCTGCAGCTTGTTGCTGGGGACTCCATACAGCTGCCTTCCATCTCCAACGCTTCCAAAGCACTGGAGGGGCCCAGTGGACTAGATACTTGCCCATACTGTCCCACACACCCTGCCACTCATGACTGTCCAGCCTTGGGGAAAATCTCCTGGTCCCCCTATATAGTCATCTAACCCCAGACAAGACCCAACCCTGACTCTGCTTAACTTTTGAGATCAGACAAAATGGTTGTGGGTAAAACACAGTCTGTATGTTTGCCAACATGCTTCCCCTCCTCCCTGGCAGAGCATGAGGCTCACAAAGTCCTTGGCCAAACCAAAACATCCTTGTTATCAGCTCTGTTCCCGAGCTGAAAGTCAAAACACAGCACTGCACCAGCTACCAAGAAGGAGGAAAATGACTGCCACTGCTGAACCCAGGACAGCATATAATGAGAAACACTTGGACCAATGTGCCATTTCCTTGATATTAAGAGGACGGGATTGCAATAATGCTATGATGTTTTAAGTTCCCTGGCAAAAAAATCCCAAACACCCTTCCCCCCAAAAAAACAAAAACCAAAAAATATCCCCAACCAACAAAAAAAAAGAACCCAACCTAGGGATTACATGAATATCCAACTATTTAATTTTCATGATGAGTACCTTTGTCTTCTAATGGCCTTGACAATCCTAACCCATGAACTAAGTCTGTAGAAATAAATGTACATCTTTCTGAACAGTGTTCTTTACCATAATTTTCTGTAAATTACGTAAGGAATAAATTAGAGTAAAGTTTCTTTTTTAGCTTCAACCTCTGCATGTATTGTATTAACTCAGTGTGAATATCTATGTTCACATGTCATATGTCATTCTATTATTCTTTGCTGGCATAAAAAGAACTTTAAAAAATATAAAAATAATACATCAAAAGGAGCAAGCAGCTTTGATCCTCACATCTAATTAATTGCACATTAGATAGATTTAGCTCATACAAATGTGGGATAGTTGCTTCACTCATTAATAATAATGTATGAACAGTTGTTTGTTTTTTATTCATTCCTTCCAAATACAAAACCACAGACACCTACAGTTCAAGCATCAGGAAGGAGGTTAAAGCATGCTACATCTGACCTCTTCATAGTTATTTATGCTATGTAGGGTCTGAGAAGCACCCATCTTCCAAGGGCTTTTCAGTAATTAGCTCATAAAGAGGTATAACATGTATGAAGTTACCTAAGCATCGTTTGTAAGTCACTACAGATGCTCTCATACCAATCAGTAAAACATGAGGAGCTATAACATATAACAGCTGGTACACTAAGATCCATTTATTATATTTTACACCTATACAGCAATTGATGTATGTTGCCAATTCCCTTGGGATATGTGAAGACCTTGGGGACAGACGTAATATTATTTAGAATCATGATACACATCACATGTTTCTTTGATCTGAGATAAAAAGAAGCATAAAATAAACCTACTTTTCTAATGAAAATTTTCATGTCACCACCAAATGCTTTGACTTCTTTCACTGTGCCCAAAATGCTGTGGTTCAGAACTAAAATTTTAAAGATAATTTTCACATTATAGTCTGTGATATTTGCAATACTATTCATGCATAATATACAATTTTTTTTTTTCAATTACTCTTTGACAAAATCCTGCCAAACGCAATAGATATGAATTGTCCATGGTGAGTGAAATTTACCTTTGGTTGCACAGCAGTAACTCATTGATTTGGCAGAGTATGTTTTCACAGGGACTGAATCACTATCAGTGTCTGCTGATTTATGCTCTCAGTATGTCTGAATGTGTTTGTGTGCATGTATGTATAGATCACACAATTCTTGTCTAGCTCCAGATAATTTGCAATTTCTCTGAGATGGCAGACATTAGAAAGTAAAAGGTGTGTATTTTCCCAGCAGAAATCAAAGCAGAAAATAGCACAACTTAGATAACCTTTCTGTCAGGCTCCCTCACCAGTGGAATTCCCATTTAAACACCTTTCCCAGAACTGCATCTCCTCCCTCTCTGTGCTTTACTCTTTCTACGCCAATGAGTGTAAGTAGGAGGTGCAGTGAAAGGTAAAACCAAAATGTTTTGATGCTTGGGGCTTTGATCCTTCCTGCTCTTTTAGGATCCCTTGTATCTGGAGCCCTCAATCAAGTTCTGAGAAACTTCTGGGAGGAAGGATGGTCTTAAAGAGTTTTCGTTCCTTTTTTTTTTGTTTTTCCCACAGAAGGGCGTATTCAAATTCCTAAAGAAAGCTTTGAAAGAGATCCAATGAGGCAATCACATGCATGTGCAACTATTTTTTTACCAGGCAAGAATATATGGAATGTGGATGGAGTTTCAGCATAGCTCTGCAAATGTAAGTATCAATTGAAACTGGGTAGGCAAATTCCATTAAGTTCTAGGCAAATTAATGTGCATATAGCTGTTGGATTACTAACTTCGTATAATTGAAAGCAGGAAAACCTGTCTGCATTTGGTTCTTAATATAAAGCTTAATTAGAAGGAAGATCTTTAAGAGTGAAGAGTGTTGCTGAGCAGCACAGGCTTTACAGTGTCTTGAGAATATGATTCCACCAAGTATAGGATTTCTGAAAGGAAAAATAAACGTTAGTCATGCTTCTCTTGTACAAATAGTAATATCTATAAACTTTCTATCTATAGGTTAATCCTAAAAAGGAATAAATATTTTTCAAAGACCAGACAATATATTCTTTCTCCTCAGGTAAAAAGGTGTAACTGAAATCCATGTAACTTATTGAGTCTATAAAATATAAATCAGTTGAAACATATATGATTTTCACATTCTAAGTAGCTAGAAGATGCAACAGTTAGTTTTTATTGTCCTCCTGTTTAAAAAATTTCAAGTCATACAGGAAGACAACAAAAAAGCACCTTGTGACCTAAGTGACTACTGTGAATAATATGAGGAGACTGACCAAGTAGACTTTCAAACAGCATAGTACTTTTGCCAGTGTTTTTCAGGCTATAGGTCCATACATTCTACTATGAATAAGGGATACAATTGGAGCAGTTAGGATTGATTATTGGATGATATAGAAGCAAAACAATGATATATTTATCAAATACATCCTTTGCTGTGACCATTTTGTAGCCATTATTTACTGCATTCACAGTTGTTTTAAGACAAATGTTCCTCAAGTTACCTTCTGTTATTTTTATTTTTTAAATTTTATTTCCATCTTTACTTTCTATGAGTGGCCTATATGCTTGTAGGACCTATGTGGAATGGCATAATCCTTATAAAAATGTGACTAATTAATCCTTCTTAATTTAATTTTAATTTTGAAATTGAGCTTCCAAAGTGCAGGGATGGACATATGGGTAGACATTAAAAAAAAAAAAAGCTCAAGAGCAAAAGCTTGCTTTTTCTTATGCCTCTGTCTAAAAAAAAAAAAATACATACACTGACTAGAAAAGTAGGATTAAAGTTGTTATTTGAAGGATGTTTACTGGATGTATTTTGTAGAACTGCAAGTGAAGAATGACAAATTCATGTTTGCTTGACTTTTCTCAGTTTCCTACGACCCAGCATTGTTGGGCTTGTTCTATCTTTATTTAAACTTTGTTCCTCTGTGAGGAGCTGTGGCTCCTGTATTTCTCAGAATTACTGTACCCCATGGGTGACATTTCCTCTGATCCTTAAAATGCTGTATTTCAGATGTTATATCACACCTCTGAAGGGTAACTTGCTTAGGAAAATATAGCTGTATTTTCCTGAAGGAACTGGAACTACATCAGGTTGAATTTCACCCTGTAGGTTATTTAAGCACAGTATGATGTTATACAAACTAAAAACAGAGGGCAAATTCCTGACTGCTATTGAAGAGATGTCATTGAGGGGGGAAAAAAAAAAGCAAATAACTCCCATTCCCTTCCACTGATGTCTTAAAAAGCAAAGAGTTAGTTGTGCTGAACTGGAGAATGAAATTAATTTCAAACAAGAGTGGCATGCAGATAATTTGGCTCTTGCTTTGTAGTTTAGGTATATAAAATCAACAATTTACAGCCTCTTGGTCTGATCTTTTTTACAGAAGGTTGGATAAGGGTTTTTTTGTTTGCTTTTTTTATGTTTTTTTTTTTTCCCCTAGTTTCAGCTGATTTTAGATTACCTTCCTCTACTTTTTCATTAGGGTCAGTTATCTAAACTCTGTGGTGCAATCTGGCTTCATATTAGGGATTCTTTGATTTTTTTTTTTTAATTTATGGAAATTTTGTAAAGTCTGTGTGCCATCTAGGTCTGTCTATCATTCTTTTTATCTGCACTCTTTCCAGTGCTCAAGATCTTCCACATTTGCCATGGTCGTTTACCTAAAATTGCAGTAAGCAAGCAAAGGGATCAGTGTATGTCTCTCTGCAATGTCTGAATGGGAACCTGCTTCCCCATGTCCAAAAATTCTAGAGGGATCAGAAGAGAAAACTGGAGAAGCACATTTTATCCTATTTCATATACTTCAGCACCTGAACTGCTGAAAAAGCCATAATGATCCTTAAGGGTCACATTTTCCGATGCTGAGACCTGTGGGAAGCTGCATGGGTCAGGTCCTTCCAAATTTGCATGAATGCTCATTCACTTGCCAATGGTCTTTACCTCTTTTTGAAACACACAGCTCAATCTACAGTCTTGTTCTCCAGTACAGTTCCACTATTTCTGCCATTATCAAACCATGCTGTTCCTCTCTGTGTGAAGTCCTGCAAGCAACCTGCTTTGTTAGTTGTATTGCCTTTTATAGTGGATATATTTCTTCATGTTCAGAAAGTGAAAACTAGTGAAATTCTTTAGCCTAAAAAGTGCATCATGGTGGAAAGGTGTAAGATGTGTTCATTTTCCATAGAGTTCTCTAAAAATTGAATACAACTAAAGTTAAATAAGAGAAGGAATCCAAGAATCTGAGTCTGTGCTTTGTAGCAACATTGATTCATAGAATCATAGAATAGTTAGGGTTGGAAAGGATCTTAAGATCATCTAGTTCCAACCCCCCTGCCATGGGCAGGGGCACCTCACACTAAACCATATCACCCAAGGCTTCACCCAACCCAGCCTTGAACACTGCCAGGGATGGACCATTCACAACTTCCTTGGGTAGTCCATTCCAGTGCCTCACCACCCTCACAGTAAAGAATTTCCTCCTTATATCCAATCTAAACTTCCCCTGTTTAAGTTTTAACCCGTTACCCCTTGTCCTGTCACTACAGTCTCTAATGAACAGTCCCTCCCCAGCATCTCTATAGGCCCCCTTCAGATACTGGAAGGCTGCTATGAGATCTCCACGCAGCTTTCTCTTCTCCAGGCTGAACAGCCCCAACTTTCTCAGCCTGTCTTCACACAGGAGGTTCTCCAGTCCCCTGATCATCATGGTGGCCCTCCTCTGGACTTGTTCCTTGTCCTTTTTATGTTGAGGACACCAGAACTGCACACAATACTCCAAGTGAGGTCTCATGACAGCAGAGTAGAGGGGCAGGAGCACCTCCTTTGACCTTTGATGCAGCCCAGGAAATGGTTGGCTTTCTGGGCTGTGAGCGCACACTGCTGGCTCATGTTAAGTTTCTCATTGATTACAGAAGAAGTTAGCAAAAAATAGGAATTAGAGGACTTTTTCTGAGTTTGAATAACTTGTAAGTGTGGTTGTAGGAATTAAAAGCCGGCTAATTGCTAGTCAGGTGTAAAATGCCTTATATCTTCTTTTTATCTGCCGGTGTCTCTGTGGCAGAACATATTAAAATGATTTCCTTCATCTTTTTCTTAGTTAATTTTTAATTTTTCAAATTCACTGCTGTAGTTCTGCTCCCCTTTCTAAGATGGTAGGTTGTAAAGTGCATACCCTAACTACATCTGTCCTGGGTTCAGCAGTAGCAGTCAAGTTTTCTCCTTCTTGGTAGCTGGTGCAGTGCTGTGTTTTGACTTCCAGCCTGGGAACAGTGCTGGCAATACCGATGTTTTTGGTTGTTGCTAAGTGATGTTTACCCTGACCAAGGACTTTGTGAGGCTCATGCTCTGCCAGGGAGGAGGGGAAGCCGGGAGGAAGCAGAGACAGGACACCTGACCCAAGCTAGCCAAAGAGGTATTCCATACCACAGCACATCATGCCCGGGGTGGGGGGTAACTGGGAGTTACCCAGAAGGACACGGGGGCTTCTGGGTGGGACTCGTTTCTTGGCCGGTGGTATTGTATTCTCTTCCCTTGTTATTTTCTCTCATCATTGTTGTCGTTGGTGGTAGCGGTGGTGATTTGTGTTGTACATTGGTTGCTGGACTGTTCTTGTCTCAACCCGTGGGAGTTGCACTCTTTCGATCCCCCTCCCCATCCCCCTGGGAGCAGGGAAGGGGAGAGCCCCTGGGGGGGGGGGGGCGGCTTCGATTGCTTCCAGCCTGGCACCACTCACTGGGAGTGAGTAAACAAGCTGTCTGGCTGGGGTTTAAACCATGACAACATCTCACTGTTTTAAAAGCTGCTCTTTCACACTACAAAGCACTGTGATATACTGAAGAAAAAAACAAACACAGCGTTGCAAAATTTTCTGTCTTGTTTCTGTAGGTGTCTTTGGCCATCAAAATGCAATCTTCCTTTTATCCCTGTCAGGAACTATGCCCTGAGCATGTACTACCACAGAATGAATGAATGTCCTAACAAATGCTTTTAGACAATACTCTGGATCATTGTTTCACAGTAGCTTTTAAATACAGTTATAAAGTCACACCTTCCAGTTAGCAAGAAAAGACACAATTTGTCTGATGTGATAATACTGTTAAAAGCCTTTTAGAAACTGCAGAAAAGGTTAGAAACATGTTTTATTGTTTTTTGTTTTGAGCAGCAGCACCACATAATGCAGTGCTGAATTTGTATCTGATGAATGTTTTATTCTGGGCTTGCCCTTCCCATCTCTCAGCATTTTCCTATTTAATGTAAGGAGAAACTGATACGATACAGTGGTTTTACATGTTCAGAATATGAATAGTAAGTGTCGTATGCAAAGTTTTCAGACATCTTTTTCTGTCTCAACAAATAATCCTCACTCTTTTTCTTCCCCTTTTATGTCTACGTTCATCATTTTATCTTATGCATACAATTTATATTTGAATACAACAATGAAAGCAAGTTCATTTTCAGATCATATGTTCACTTCCCTCATCAACATTTCATATAGCTGTACATTATGAAGTCTCTCCTTATTAAGTCTTTTTTCTAGTCTAACATATTTTGCTCTTGATGATTTTAGATGAGGCCTAAACAAAGTCTTGCAAAATGGGATCATTACCTTTCAAGGTTGAGATTTTAAGTTAATTCACAACCTGCAAGAACATGCAATGCCCACAGATAGGCGAACAGGTAAAGAGAAT